TCTAAAAATTACCAGAATTTAACAACATTTTCTTCCAATAGCCTTTCATAGACTTCAATGAGATTCAATTCTCTTGAACAAGATTTGCGGAACGCTTGGCAAATGTACCTCAAGCAGATTTGTCCTTCACTATTGTTCAAATTCTTACAGGTCTTTTATTTCCCCTGATGAAGCTATGTGACCTGGTGGTGTAACGCATAGGGGAAGGGCTCTGACATAACAACGCTTAAAGCAACATACAGCAAGTATTCATCAATATTGGAAAAATTTACTGTGGATAAAAATTTCAACATTTTAATGCGTTTTTAACTTGTAACACATGTGAGTACACTACTTTATTTAATAAATTATATTTTAAAGAGGATAAGGCACTAGATTTTTGTATTACATTCCATGGCCATTAAACCTATGGAGAAAAAAATCTAAGGAAGCAAGGAGACCCCCTAGTGGGAAGAGGGATATTCCCGTCAATCCATCTGGCTCCAGGAAAATCCATAAGGAAGCGAGGAGACCCCCTGCTGGAAAGAGGGAACACTCCGTCCATCCATCCATCCCAGGGAAATCCTATCCATTTACCACTAAGTCTTATTAAAGGGACACAAGCCTTTTATAACCTCACTTAACAGTCTGGTCATATACACCAGATGAGAGCACAATCTGTGAAGGTGCATAATAATTTTAATGATTGGTGAACTACAGAGTTATTATTTCGTATCACAGCACTAGAAGAAATTTCAAGGTCACGGACTGAATAAGGATATGTTTGCAGCAGTAATATAATTGCAGAGATATTGATATGCATTCTTTTGAAGCTGGACTGTTATTATTTAATATTTATTTATTCACATTTTTGCAATTGGTAGTGGAGCGCGACATCAATTCTGATTTTTTTTTATTCAAATGTCAACTTAGTTTCCAAGTCAGAGCTCAGAAATGCCCATTTCATACCACAATAAAATACATGGTGTCTTATATTACTAAGGCCCCATTCAGACTCTTTATTGGGTTACACACGTCGCTCAATGTCATTTGCTGCAATTGCAGCGTAATTTATTGCTCGAAAATCATGGAAGAGCTGCACTGCATTTTCAGGTGACAATAAACTGAATGGTATCTAAACATGTGGTGGCAGAATTTGTCATTTTAACTGAGTGTTTTGAAATTGTGGGAGAATTGTGGTGATTTTGCCTACAAAACAACAGACTTTGCATATAGAATGCACCTGGGTGAGAGAAAATGAAAAATGAAATCTTGAGAAATTAAAGGTATATATAGCTATATGGAGCTGCCCTTAGCAGCTTATGCCAGTTTAAATATGTTTTTTCTTACTAAGAAGTTTACTTTAAACCATATTACTTACGGTACATATTGGCATGTTTTTGGAAATAAACTTTCATGTTCATAGATAACTGTCATTGAAATAACAGAGAGAACAACAAACAGTAAAAATAATTGCAAAGGTGTCTTCATAATTTGTAAACCTTTGAAATAAGCAATGCTTTTGACAGCAATAATAAAGTAATGTCTCTCTCACGTTTATCTGATCATTTCATGCGGCTGATATAGTTTCTATGGATGATGGCATACCTGTACACTGCATGTCTCTGTTTTTAATGGTAGGACTAAGGAATGCTTGGAAAGTATGCAAGATCACTGTGGAGATATGCCAGGTTTCTATCCAAAAAACCAAATAGTTTGAAAGCAAATCATAACAGGTTTAAGTAATCATAAATTCAGAGCTCCACATGTTTTCATATCTTACCATGCACACTACAAGGAGACAAGCAAATATAACCATAGTAAAGGCTGACAGTTGTTCACAAGATAATAAACGGCGCTCAATATCCTTTTTCTAATCAAACTGAAAAGAAGCACTGGTGCACAACTGAAGCTTTTGCAAGCTATCTACAGTGGAAAGTTCAAAATAAGAAGTCAGCATCACGGTGAGGTTCCAATTGTAAAATTTCAGTTTATTTTCACATGGGGAGGGGCACAGTCACTGATGGGGTGCTGTTTTTGCGTGAGTGCTGCATTGATGGTGGGGTTGGTTTGCTTCTATCCCCACTGAGCACCTTTCAAGTCCTCCCTAACCCTCCCTCTCTATCCTTCTCTTCTTTCAAGACTCACTGCATCCGGCTGTTTTCTCCCATTTCTCTGAGGATTGCAGTGATCTATCGCCCTCCTGGACCCGTGTCCCGCTTTCTTGATGATTTCTCTGCTTGCCTACCCTACTTTCTCTCCTTTGAACTACCCACTATCATTCTCGGAGATTTTAACATCCCTATTAATGTCAACAACCCGGCTACATCCCAACTCTTCAACATAACCTCATCTTTTTCATTAGCACAGTGTATACAGTCCTCCACTCACTCTGATGGGAATACATTAGACCTTGTTTTCTCCCATCTTTTCACTCCCTACAACCTCACAAACACCCCCTTTCCTCTCTATGATCACAATTTCATCACCTTCACAGTCTCCTCGTCTTCAAACACCTATCCCTCCAAGCGTCCTGCCCTGACCTGGCCACTGCTGTCTATAATAGTTCGCTTACATCCGCATTAGACTCGCTTGCTCCTCTAACAACAGGAAGCATCAGGCCCTGACCATTACAACCTTGGCAGACTGATGACACCAGAAATCTTAAACGACATAGTCGTGCGCTGGAGCGATTGTGGCGTAAAACCAAATCCCACCAAGCATTCACCCGATATAAATCTGCTTTCTTAACATACAATTCCTCCCTTCATGCTGCCAAACAAGCCTACTTTGTCACTCTTATTATTACTTTCTCATCCAGTCCTCATCGTCTCTTCTCTACTTTTAACTCTCTACTTTCTCCACCTTCACCTCCACCCAGTACCTCACTCACTGCTCACGAGATTGCAAATCATTTCAAAAACAAGATTGATGCAAATCATAGGGGCATCGCCACTGCACAGACATCCATCCCACTTAGCATACCTTATACTAAACCTCCCTCAACACTTTCCTCTTTTGACCTCGCTACTACCGAAGAGGTCACTAAGGTTTTCTCAGAAGCCCGTCTCACTACCTGCCCCCTGGATCCTGTCCCCTCACAACTGCTACGGTCACCCTCTTCTTCCATCCTATGCTCCCTCACTCACATCTTCAACCTTTCCCTCTCTACTGGTGCCTTCCCCTCCCCTCTAAAGCATGCACACATCACTCCCATATTTTAAAAGCACTCCCTGGACCCCATCAACCTGAACAACTTAAGACCCATCTCCCTGCTGCCATTTACCTCTAAACTCCTAGAACACTTAGTCTACAATCGCCTGAGCTCCCACCTCACCGACAACAACCTTCTTGACCCTTCACAGTCTGGCTTTCGCTCACTACACTCCACTGAAACTGCACTACTAAAACTCACTAATGATCTACTAACTGCTAAAACCAATGGCCACTACACCGTACTCTTACTCCTTGACCTCTCCGCGGCTTTTGATGCGGTTGACCGTCCCCTCCTCCTCAAAAAACTCCACTCTCTTTGCCTCAGAGACTCTGCTCTCTCCTGGCTTGCTCCTTCAGTGTTACCTATAACGCTGCCTCCTCCTCTTCACTCCCTCTTTCTACGGTCCTCAAGGTTCTGTCCTTGGACCCCTCTCTCTTCTCCATCTACACCTCCTCCCTTTGTCACTTGATAAACTCCCACGGCTTCAAGTACCATCTCTATGCTGATGACACACAAATCTATCTTTCTACCCCTCACCTCACCCCTTCAGTCTCCACTCGCATTACTAACCTACTAAGTGACATATTGGCATGGATCTCTTCCTCAAACTCAATCTTTCCAAAACTGAGCTCTTAGTATTCCCTCCAGCCCGTGCCCCCTCCCCTGACTCCTCCATCAAGATCAATAACACAATCATCAGTCCCTCCCCTCATGCGAGGGTACCAGGTGTAATCCTAGACTCCCATCTGTCCTTTCAGCCCCAAATCCAATCACTGTCCAAATCGTGTAGACTTCACCTCCGCAACATCTCCAAGATATGACCGTTCCTAACCTCGGACACCACTAAGCGACTTATTCACTCCCTTGTTATATCTCGCCTTCACTATTGTAACTCCCTCCTCATTGCCTGGGGGGGGGGGGGGGGGGGCCTACCTCATCGCAGGCTACCCCCTCTTCAGTCTATCATGAATGCTGCTGCCAGACTCATCCACCTTACTAACCGTTCTGTATCTGCCACCCCTCTCTGCCAATCCCTCCACTGGCTTCCCGTTGCCCAACGGATAAAATTCAAAACACTAACAATAACGTATAAAGCCATTTATAACTCTGCCCCAAATTACATCACCAATCTTGTTTCTAAATATCACCCAAACCGTACTCTCCTCTCCTCTCCTCGAAAGACCTCCTACTCCCTAGCTCCCTTGTCTCCTCCTCCCATGCTCGTCTACAGGACTTCTCCAGAGCTTCCCCCATCCTCTGGAACGCTCTACCCCAATTTATCAGACTATCGCCTACCCTGCTCACTTTTAGGCGATCTCTGAAAACCTATCTCTTCATGGAAGCCTATCCTGCCCTCAACTAATACTGGAATCTTCTACTCTTCCAACCAGTCCATCCCCCACAGTTACTACCTTTTATACCACTAGCCCCTCCCTCCTAGATTGTAAGCTCCAAGGAGTAGGGCCCTCAAATCCCTCTTGTATTGAACTGTATTGTTACTGTATTGTCTCCCGTTATATTGTAAAGCGCTGAGCAAACTGTTGGCGCTATATAAATCCTGTATAATAATAATAATAATATGGCTAAAATACAGCACAGCAAAGAAGCGGATATGTTTCAGCTATTCAGGCCTTCATCATGGCTATTATTGTGAACATTCTTATACTTATTGTGAACTTTCTAACGGTTGTTTGATGCCCGAAAAAGAACCAATATTAACCACCTTCCGCCCGCCATATAAGGAAATGATGAGTAGGCGGTGGCTCTCTCATTCTGGGAGGACGTCATATGACGTCCCCCCCACTCTAACTGCACATGAGCGCCCCCCTGGGTGTTCAGCTGTGTTCAATCATAAATGTAAACACGAAATGTCGGTTATTGGCAGTCCTCTCCTCATGCTGACAGCGCATGAGGAGAGGAGAGCCGATAAGCGGCATTCCTCAAAGGGGACATCTACACTAATCATCAGGGCACTGATGATCAGTGCCCTGATGATCAGTGTAGCCCAATCAGTGCCACCTGCTAGTGCCCATCGATGCCACCTGTCAGTGCCCATAAATGCCACATACCAGTGCCCATTACTGCACATCAATGCCACATATCAGTGCCTACCAATGCACATCAATGATACATATCATTGCCCATCAGAGCTGCCTTTCAGTGCCAACTATCAGTGCCAGTCAGTGCCACTTATCAGTGCCCGTCAGTGCCGCCTAACAGTTCCAATCAGTGTCGCCTAACAGTTCCAATCAGTGCCGCCTATCAGTGTCAGTTAGTGCCACCTATCAATGCTCATCAGTGCCACCCTATCAGTGCCATATATGAGTGCTGCCTTTCAGTGCCCATCAGTGATGCCTGTCAATGCCCACCAGTGATGCCCATCAATGCCCATCAGTGCCACCTATCAGTGCCTCCTCATCAGTGCTGCCTATCAGTGCCCATCAGTACAGCCTATCAGTGCCCATCACTGCAGCCTCATTAGCGCACACCAGTGAAGAAGAAAAATTACTTATTTACAAATTTTTATAACAGAAACTAAGAAAAAAACTTTTATTTCCAAAATGTTCAGTCTTTAGTTAGTTTAGCAAACAATAAAAAATCCAGTGGTGATTAAATACCACTAAAAGAAAGCTCTATCTGTCTCAAAAAAATGATAAACATTTTGTTTGGGTACAGTGTTGCATGCCAGTGTAACAGCACTGAAAGGTGAAAATTGTCCTGGGCAGGAAAAGTGCCCAGTAGGTAAGTGGATAGCTGTCTTGATTTCTAAAGATTTCCCTGGACACTTTCATGCTTGGCTGGGGTGTTTCCTAATTAAACTCATACAGAGCACAGCAATGACTTTTACATTTTCCTTTATATACTCTGAATTGGTTTCTAAAATTCTTCACTGTTTGCATGTTTTAAGTATTTTTTGTGGTACAGTTGAACAAGAACTGGAAAGCAAACATTCCATTGCAAAAATGTCTGCAACAAAAAGCTATATGTGGACATCAAATGCAGTCAGTAGTTATAGTTAGTGGGTCTTAGTGTCCCGAAAATGAGGGATTTGTCAAATCAGAAAGGGAATCCAGTGCTTGCCATCAAGGAGCTACTAAGTAAAACATTATCAGGTATCTCCCCATAGCTAACTAGGAGGGTGCTACGTATGTAAAGGCAAAAAAAATAAAGTTTGATGCTCCTCTATTGGTTCTGGTGACCATTGTGACCAAGATAAAGTGGGGAAATCCTGAATAGTTAAATAATTGTACATTTCTCTTTAGAGCAAGAGGTGAGGAGAAAACTTCCAGCGGGGACAAATATTCTGATGACAACTGTCTACAATTTAAGTGAAATTTCTTTCACTTCTCATTGCATTTCCAAAGACACAGAGTGAAGGGAATTTCTACCAGCAGGACAGAAAAAGCAAAAAAATAACCTGACAGAGCAGGTGCAGGTTAAATTCTCTATCTAAAATGGCCATTACTCAATTGTGGCAGGAACAGGTTAGCCCATTGGAAGATATCTCTTACAGTACTTTTGACAACTGTAAAATTTACAATTACATTCAGTCTTGGTGACAATGGCCATTAGGACACAACGGGAGTTAAAGAGTATGTAAACACTGTAGTGATCAATGTTTTCGGGGTTGTGGCCATCGTGGAGATGTCTTGCACATCCTGTGGTCATGCCCGAGACTGTTTCGTTTTTGGTCTTGTGTGTTTGGCCTCCTTTTCACCTTGTTCCATCTCTCCATATGCCGGGATGCCCGGTATGTCTTGCTTCATTGCCCCATACCGAGCCTCTTGGCTCACCAGCAGAAGTTGGCTTCTTATTTGTTTTTATCGGCCACTAGAACAATTGCCCAGGCCTGGAAGAGTCCGTTTGTCCCTCTTCAGGGGGGTGCGGGATTGTATGACTACTATGATGCTCAACGAGCAGATGTCGAGTATCCGCAACGACTCCCACCGTACATTTTTGAAAATATGGGAGCCGTGGTTGCAATATGCCTTTCCCACACTCCCCCCGGCTAGCCTGGGGATGTAATGGTGTTCGATCCTGGCGCTCTTAGACCCCTGCTTTTTGCCCCCCCCCTTTTTTTTCCCCCTTTCTCTCTCTCTCTGTTTTTGGTGTGACTGGACAGCTGCCTTTAGTTGTTAGAGTCAGTTGCATTAATGTTTTGTACCTTATGTGCCATTGATAGCCCCTGCATGGACGTACCTTTTGCCCTGTTGACGTTAGAGCACTGTTTTTCTTTTATTTTGCATTTTTTTCTGTGCAATTGATAGCCCCTGTGTGGGCGAGTTTTATTGCCTGTTTTATAATGTTTAAAAATTAATAAAAACCATTGGAATATTAAAAAAAAAAGAGTATGTAAACCCAACTTTTCATATTCCTAATATTTGTCTGCTGTGCCAAGTAAAAACTTACTACGCTAGACATAAGAGTAAAAGTGTGGTCAGTTCTCTAGCTATGCTGGGAACTCAGTGTGCTCTCCTCCAATGTTCACACACCCCCTTCCCCCTGCACAGCCATTCACTGTGAAGATTATTGCACTGCTGTTTCTTCTCCCCAGGCTCTCTGCTCTCAGCTGTATTAGGAGTTTAGAGGGTATGTGATAAACATATAAAACAAGAGGAAAAAAGTATTTATTTTTTTCTTTTTTTTATCTATTCACAAATCTTTTGCTTTTCATTTTTATTTTTCATTTCTATTTTTCAAATGGGTTGTTTTACAAGGTGAGTGTTTACATATACTTAAATTTCCCCAGCGTGAAATAAACTAAAAATCTAAAAGGGGATCCAACCCCACCACACTGGCTAAAAAAGCTAAACAAAAATGTTTTGTTTATAGGTACACTTGAGTATAGTGACTTTTTAATCTACTGGTACAACATAATAGCCACTATGAATTATACACACTATAAATTCATAATTATATTATAAATGTTAAAAATAGCCACAAACGGTGTACAGCTTATAGCGTAGATTACTTCCCCAATGCCATATAACTGATTTAATGTGCAATAAGTAACACTTTAAAGTCTTTGGAACACAACTTTATGAATGATGGCTGTGTGGCTAAATGACTCTGATTCTTAATATTTGAACTGAAAAGAAAAGATGGTATTATCTGTCTAAAATTCACCAAGTATCCACAACTACTGGATGGTAAATCTGAAGTGTGTAGAATTGTATTTTCCTTGATCATGATTTTTGACAGTTCTTTCTTTTTTATCACATTGCTGTAGCCATTACATATGAGACACACTGATGCAGACAAACAGCAGGCATAGCATACCAAAACACGAATGAATGCTTTATTTCATAATCAATAAAACAATAAAGAAGTCTCTTCACCTATATTTAGGATGCCTTGACTGTACAAAAACTAATCAACAAATGTAATGTAGAATTACATGTACAGATAGGCTTGACAATTATACCAGTGACAAAAACCCTAGGAAACTTTAAACCCTCCGTGATGTGCATCAAATCGTAACAAAGGGCAACTCATTCCCTCATTTTTTTCTTACCAGAAATTTCCTGAGCATGGTCCCTGCACTTCCCCTGCTAATGTGCCTATGTGACAAATGGTGATACTCTGAGGGTTCATCAGAGGGGTCCTTACAGAGTATTGAGGAAAAGTGGCTGTGTTGGCAGACCTGGGCTTCAGGTGCTGTAACAATAAGTGAAAAAGGGGGTTTGGAGTATTTAAATTTTTTTATTACATTGTGAATGAATGGGTGAAGAGGATGAGGGTTGGGGAAGATTGAGGGTTTTTTGTTTGCTCTGACATGGGCTCTAAAAGTACCCCAAAGTTCTTATGCAGAGGTGTAGCTTGAAGCTTGTGGGCCCGATGCAAAAGTTGACCTAGGGCCCCCATTACCACCTGCCACTTCCACCATGTGTCAAGATAATCCCACCGCACGCCAGGATACTCCAAGTGGCGAATGAGTTATTTCTGAGCTTTATTATTAGAGGGTAATTCAAAAGATTTTGTAGAAACTATCCAATTTTGATATACCTCTCCAATTCTTTTGAATACCTGTACACAGAGGTATACCCCCACCATCCTATTAATGACATGCCCCCTCCCCATCTCCCATACCATCCTGGTAATGGCATGCCCCCCCCCTCCCCCCCACAATCCTGGTAATGACACCCCCCCTTCCCCCACCATCCCAGTAATGGCATGCCCCCTCCCCCCCACCATCCTGGTAATGACATGCCCCCCACCATTCTAGCAATGACATGCTCATCCCTCTTCCCACCATCCTGGTAATGACATGCTCCTCCTTCCCCCCACCATCCTGGTAATGACATGCTCCCTGACACCCCCCCCCCCCAATGCTGTTCAAATTGACAAAATAAAATAGGGGACCTATAGTCCCTTGGGCCCCTCAGGAGGTGTTAAGGATTTTTAAATTCATTTTTCTGTACGTGTTGACAGCACCCCCAGATACTGTGGGGAGGGGCAGTGTGTTTGTCCCAAACTGTTCCCACATGAATGGACACCCCAAGGTGGGGAGGTACAGAAAAACCATGTTAAGTGAGTGATCTGAGCAGAGCAGTGTCTCTTACCTAAGTTTCAGCAGTCCTGTCCTGACTCTCTGCCTCACTCTGTTTTGTGTGTCAGAGAAGCAGCTCACTGTCCCCCCATGATTGTCAGCACACTGCCACCACACTTCCCTGTCCCAGGTTGATCACCATCCTCCACTGAGTCCATTCAGGAAACTTGGCACACATGACTTCTCCTCAGCCAATGAGAGCGGGGGAGGGGTGTGGATTGAGGTCTGGGGAAAAAGCAAACTGGAAGCTTGGGACTGAACTGCAGAGCTCAGCTGGGGAGCTGGGAGGCGGATTGGACCTGGATTCTGTCACCGTGATTTGTGGGAGAAAAATGCAGCAAATAATATGACAGCAGGGAGCTGTGGGCCCCCTGGAGCTAAAAACCTTCAGTGTGCAGCTCCCCCACCTCTTAATCTCACCTGAGTCCAATCTAGTAATATGCAAGAGAGCAGAAGCTTTCCCGGGCCTCTGTGTAAGCCATGTACCGGGGTGGGCTCCCCAGGATACAGTGAAGTCACGAACGAGGAAAGCAACCCCAACACCAGCTTTTGCCACAACAGAATTTTACTTAGATGTGGCAAATAAACAACCACAAATGCTGAGAACATACAATAAATTTACATACACCCCTTGTGCTGCACAGCACGGCGCCTTCTGATGGATGAAGGTAGAAAGTGAAGTAATTTACCTACTGGTGGGCACAAATAAGCTGCCACACCTTACCTGTTATTACCCTAAAAGAGCAGGAATCAGTGTATGGGTGTACGGTATGGGCTAGCCTTGCGGTGCAGCACAACAGCTTACAATCTTACACAAATCTACAGTATTAGCACTCCCATAACTGGTCCTGTAGCACGTGCCTGAGTATTCTTTCTGAGCAAAACGCCAGTCTGGCTTGAGTTGGTGGGATGTTATCAGCTCTCCAATGTGAAATGTCACTTTAAGTTATGGAGTCCTTCCAATGATCAGTAAT